TAGCCCTCCCAGTGCAGCTTAGGTCTAAGGTTTAAGGTTGAGGGATTAGGGGTTTAGGTGTTCGGGGCTTTAGGGGTTTCGGGATTGAAACTTTAGTTGGAGGAGATCCCAAGAATTACTGAACCCGAATTCCTAAACTTAAGGCCTTCAATCTAGCAAACCACTGAATCCGTAAATACACCAAACCCTAAAGCCATCCTCATGTCCTTGAGGTAAAGCATAAGGGATCCTAGCACCTATCCTCCTAAACCCATGTTCCAACTTTCTTGAATTCGCTATATAACGCCATAAACCCTAAACCCTAATCCCTCAGCCCTAGTCCATCAAGTTCCTCTTCACTGGGGGACATGTATGGTCTGTTCGTCGCCTACCTCGAAGTTTTGACTGACCAGGTTTCACAGCCCTAAACCCTAAACCCTGTAGCCGCGAACTCAGTGGCCCAGAGATCTTCCTCGTCCTAGGTTTCGAGTCCAGCTGGGCTCGGAGTTGGTACTCCGTTGCGGATTTCATCGTTGCGTCGATGGCTCCTTGCTGGCCTAAGAGATCTGAGAGACCTCTGTGGTTAATCTCGACATGCTCTTTTGCCATGCGTAATGCCTGGTTTGCGAGCCATGAGTTATGCTGGGTTGAAGCAACGATTTCTCGCCTTTCTCGGGCCCTTTGGTCCCGAAGTTTCTGTCCACCTTGGGCGCAGGGAGGGGCAGGGTTTATAGGGGCTCTCGGCACCCTGCAGTATCTGATGGAACCAAGGGCAGAACTCCACAGCAGCTTTCGATGATTGGCGAACAAAGTCCTGTCGGCAAAAGACATGTCACCTCGAGGCCGCCGCGAGTATCCCAGACCGCTGTCTGCAACGCATCGCAATTCGCATCTTTTCAGTGCAGGGGTTTGGGGATGCCAGGTCTGACAGAATTATGGCACTGAGACTTAGAACAGCGACACAGCGGACAAAAACATACCAAAACCAATTGGACCCCGCTCATCACTAGCAGTATATAGTAATCCAGAGACTACACTGGGACATTATTATAATTACACCCCTATAAGGCCCACATCCCTAAACCCTAAACCCTAAACCCCTAAATCCTACATCCCAGACCCAAGCTATACCTACCAAGCCGCATGAGCTTGATGGGTTCAAAGCCCGTCGTGCTCAGCCAGGCGAACTCACCTCTGACAGTTTATTGTAGGGCCCTGAACAATCAGAATAGGGTTTTGGGGCCCATTATTCTACAAGTATGATAAGGAACCCCACAATAGTATCGGTAATTATTTAGGCCCCTTTTCTTAGGGTTCAGGGTTTGGGGGCTTACGGGTTTCGGGTTCTGTAGCTTTGCTACAAGGGCTTCCGGAGGGTGTTACAGGGCTTGGTAAGGGGCGGTGTGGGAACCAGTGTTCCTTACTATAGGGGCCTAAATAATTACCTAAAGAATTTTGGGGTTTCCTTATCATAATTATAGTATACTGGGCCCCGAAACCCTATTCTAACTGTTAAGGCCACTATAGTAATGCCTTGGTTTAGGGCTGAAAGTCTAGCCTTGTAAGGCCGCTCAGTACCGACAGTCCCCAATGGGCCAAGACATACAACAGACATACCTTTAAGGTTTAGGGGTTTAGAGTTTAGGGGTTTAGGGGTTTAGGGTTCAATCTTACACCCTGAATCGCAGTTCCTGGCCTGTCGATAGGGCTTTTCGGGTTCGTAAAACCCCACGCAAGCCTCCAAACCCCTCATTAGAAACCGCGTATCCACAACATAACATAGCTTCACATACACCCAGAATAGAACAAACACCAAGAACCCAGCACCCGAAAGCAAGGAACACAAACTTCAACTGTGAAGCCTGCCGCCCGAATGTCAGATGATCACAGACAGGCCCAGACAAGCCTGGAAACCCTTAAGCTGCCTGATACCAGAATAACCCGAAATACCTTAAACCCTAAACCCCAAACCCTGAAGCCAAAATACCCTAAACCCTCAATCCCCCTAAACCCTAGCTGAATTTCGTAAACCCTAAATACCCTAAACCCTAAATGCCCTAAACCCTAAACCCCTACCCTAAACCCCTAAACCCTAAACCCCTAAACCCTAAACCCCTCAACCCCTAAACCCTAAACCCCTAAACCCTAAACCCTAAACCCCTAAACCCTAAACCCCTAACCCCTAAACCCTAAACCCCGAACCCCTAAACCTCTCTACCTATAGTAATTAAAACCCTATAGTCTTCGTGGCTATTGACCAAAACTCGTGGCTATTGACCAAAACTCGTGGCTATTGACCTCCTTGGGGTTTGGGCTTTAGGGTTTAGGGCCTAGGGTTGGCTCTCGGGTTTAGCGCCTAGGGTTTGGGCTTTAGGGTTAAGGGTCGAGGGTTTAGGTGGGGTTTGGGCGTTTGGATTCAGGTGCAGGGAGGGGAGGGCAGGGCAGGGGCAGGGGCAGGGGAGGGGCAGGGGCAGGGGCAGGGGCGAGGCTCATCCAGCAAAGCGCAGTAGAGGGGCGACAATCCTTCCACACAGCCACCCGACCCACTTCCACCCCCCACCCCCACCTCCCCCTTACCTCCACGCACAACCAAAGCAGAGAAGGGTAGGGCAGAGCAGGACAGGGGGCAGAGAGTAGAGGGCAGCACAGTCCTTTCGCAAGACCTTGAAATGTGTAAGATGGCAAAATACTTTATGCAGTAACTGCAAAAGCCATCCCTTCAATCATCCAGGGCCTGAGTTGACTACAAGGGTATCCAAACGCTTTGCCTCTCCGGTGGGTCTGATGGTCTTTCTTGACGTGTTCTGGATCCAACTTCGTGCAGTAAGCTCATACTTGATAGCTACCGTTGCTATCGTCGGGCGATGCCGTAGACCGCAGCTCTCAGCTGTTATTGGCCTTGAATTGTCCCTGCCATCCCAAACCAATTTTTGCACTTGTGCAAAAACGCTTCTTGCACTTGGACGTAGTCCGAGGGTGGGGTGCGGGTATTCGAAGTAGTATTAAACTTTCTAGAAGATAGTTTTATTGTAAGTTATTCGAAAGCAATTTTTGCACTTGTGCAAAAACGGTTTTTGGACTTGGACGTGGTCCGAGGCTGGGGTGTGGCTATTCGAAGTAGGGTTTGTAATTGGCTTGCCTTGTTTTTGGAAGGTGTATTCAAGATGTCTGTCGTGTAGTTTCTGTCTGAAGTTGATGACAGGTCTTACCAGGCAATAACGTCAATGGTCAAGTCAATGATGTGTTTACTTTAGAAATTGTGATAGATTCTGTGAGTTGTATGTAAGTTATTATTAAGTAATTCAAGCCAAAAGAAAAAGCTTATAATTCTAATGTGAGGGGATTCTCTGGGCGGGTGGGGTTTCTTCATGAAGATAGCTTGACTAGAAATAGCTTGACTTGTAAAAGGTCAGAGCTGCTGAACCCCTAAACCCTAAACCCCTAAACCCTAAACCCTAAACCCCCAAACCCCTAACCCCTAAACCCCCAAACCCTAAACCCCTGAACCACCAAAGCGCAGCCTTCGAAAACGAAGAACCCTGACATGATCACGGGCTTGGCATCCTGAGTTCGGAGTAGGGGCTGCGACTTTCAGGGAAAGATTATAGGGGCCTAAATAATTACAAATTATATATATATATATATATATATATATATGTATATATATATATATATGTATATATGTATATCTATATATATATATATATAGTTTTTCGGAAGGGGGTCCTTATTACAACCATAGTATTATTTCACCCGAAACCTTATTCTAATTATGAAGGCTCCTATATTAGGTTATTAGGGCTTCAGGAGCTGAGGATTGAGGCTAACTTACAGGGAGACGGTATATGGGGTGTTCATTTATACGGCTTAGTTTACTATGGTGTAGTTCTAGGCTGTAGGGTTTGGGGCTTACTATTATGGACTATTTGTCGGGTTTAGGTTTAGGCTGGTTTCGGCATTATACCCTAACCTACCCAAACATACATTTTTATAGGTTCCTAAAATAACCCCTACTATGGAATTTATAGGGACCCTACCCCAAAAAAGGTAGGTTCTGGTGGGTTAAGGTATCGGGGCTCCAAGGACTGGGTGTTGACTGCTGGAAGGATAGGGGATGATTGAGCTGTGGGTCTCCGTGCCTTTTCGGCCACAAGTCGCTACCCGAATGTAGGGGCCTTTATACTTAGAATTAGGGTCCCTTTTAAAGGGGTCTAGAACGGATCTCTAGTACGACAAGGCATTGGGGCCCATTATGCTATAGTTATAAGGAGGTACCCCAAAAACAATATAGGTAACTATTAAGGCCTAAATTAAACCCTAAAGCCCTGTTCGAAGTGGTGATAGTAACAGAAAAACAGCGGCTTTGCAAAGCGGAGCTCGAGGTACACTGCGCCCTAAACCGATAAGTGTTTTGTATGAGTTCTGCGAACGAAGTGTTGAGGATCCAGAGGAACACACGGCAAGGAGCAACAGCAGGTGAAATACTGGCCCAACACTAAACGGCCATGATTCTACATACTGTTGGGGTCCAGGTAGGGTTCAGGGGCTGACTAGTAGTATGTAGCGCTGAGGGTTTCGGATCCCAAACCCGGACTTTTGTGGGTTTGGGGGTCCCTACGTTTGTCGCCTCTGTCCTGTACATAAGAAACTACCACAACCTCCATATTGAATCCCAAAAACCTACACAGCCGAAAAGGCACCAACTCTAAGCCCGATCACCCTCAACCAGATAAGAAGCACTTGCGACCAAGCGAAAAACCCACAACAAGGGAATAAAGTGGCCTTAATCATTCCAATATGTGGTCTTTCCCGTGCTCCTTTTTGAGCAAGTAGAGTATACTATATCCTAATGCTCTATTCTAGTTTTAAGGCTCTTTTTCCCAGTATAGAGTCCTTCCTAATTGGAATAAGAAGCTGGTGATTCTTACCCGCGCAAAGTTAGGGACCGAACGGAATAATGATACTAATTGTTGCGAAGAGTTCGTGAATAGCATAAATAGCCCCAAACCCTACTCTCATTGTGACTGCTCCTACATTATGTGATACCTCAAGGGTGTCAAAGGGAACCCACAAAGGAACCCCTATAGTCTTATAGCGGAACTTCCAGGAGCCCTCAATGGAACCCTTACTGGGTTGTGCTTTAAACCCTTTGAAAACTATTTATGGATAGGTTCCCTTTATAAGGAAATAAGGGAAGTTAGAAAATATCCCAAAGCACAACCCAGCTTATCTTAATCTGCAAGTGAGAAGCTGGTTGGCAGGTCATTGCCACATTTGGGCCTCATCAATGACATGGCACTCAGTTTTAGGGGCTTATGGCTCAGGGTTTTAGGGTTGTGGGTAAGGGTTTCAGGGTTTAGGATGTTAGGGCTTTGGGGTTTAAGGTGTAGGGTTTTTTCCAAAGCTTTAGTGATCTCGAACTACCGGAACTTAAATAACAGACAGTCCAACAGGCGGTTCCAAGTGACTACACCCTAAACCCTGCACGCCTGAAGACTTATATGGCTTCTGCCAGAAACAGGCACCTGACCGTTAAAAGCGGCATTTCTGACAAGCCCTCATTGTCACATATCCTTTACAGACACTGGGCTTGTAGCGGCGCTCGATAGACCAACAATCTACGCAAGCAGCCACTCTGACCCATGTAAGACTCCGCGTTTTCTTACTTGCTGAGACTCGGGCTCACAGTTTGGGGTTTAGGCTTAGGGTTCAGGTTGTCGAACAGATCCAGACATAGAGGGAGGCGCCGCAGCTAAAACTCCAGGGGCTCGTGGCCCAATCTCTCACAGCCCGTGCCAAGTCACCACTGACTAACCCTGAAACCCCGAACCCAAAACCGCGCACATCCCCGAAGCAAATCCACCCACCGACTACTTGGAGGATCAAGGGACTTAGTAAGTCAGCTTATAAGTACCTTAATTGGGATTATAAGCGGTTGTAAGTATAGCTACCCTATTTATAACCCTAGTTACTAAGTTCCATGCTCCTTTAAGTAAATCCCCTGAACCCAAAACAAAAAACAACAACCCAGGGATCCAAGCATTCTCGGCACACACCAGCTCCCGGGAAATCTGAGAACCTTGGATAGCAAAAAGACGTCCTTAAGAGCCTGCTCTTATTCTCGTTTAGGCACTAGGGTTTAGACACTGGGTTTCAGACCTCTGTTAGCTTCTGATTCTGGGAAGGGCTGCGAGGTTTGGGCTTTAGAGTTCGTCTTGTTCTGCCTAAAACCCTGGTTTCTTCCGGGGGTTGCAGTTTCTGGGTGACACATGCAGCGCTTTGGAGTGCTAGGCCTCTGGATAACGTGCTGATGTCGTAGGGTCCAAAGGGTGTACTAAGCGGCTTACAGGGGTGTTGTAATGGTTTAGGAAGTTTTGAAAAACACAGTGACCCCGAACAATTAACCGTGGGGCATTTGCTGAACTCCTGTTCCCACCTGCCTTTAAGCCGAGCTGAAAGAAACCTCACTGAGGCAGGAGCGAAGGACAGAAACTCAGCTCTTGTTGCATTCAACAGTTCAGGGTCTTTGTGGCTCAGGATTTTAGGGCATGGGACCCAGAAGGGCAATAAAAGAACTCCCAAGAGTCTGAAGGCTATCAGTTTCGGGTTTAGGGGTTCAGCGTTTATAGGGTTTAGGCATCATACCGACCAAGATGGGGTCTGGCAAGCAGGTTGCAGTGAAGATGAGGATTTGGTTGGGACGAGGTCTCGGCTTGATGCACAATCCCCTTGCAGCTAAACCCTCAACCCCAGCCCCTACAGAACCCGTACAGGACTTGCTGCAGGTCACGAGACCAGGTAGTTTCATCAGACATGCCTTCTGGAGCCTTGCGAAGTCAAGTGCGATGCTGCCGTCTTGAAGCAAAGTCCCAAGCACTCAGGGTCCGCGAGGCTGATGTAGGAGCTGGGACTGGCCCTGGTGTCAATCTCGGCTTGGGCAGTTTTTGCGGGTTGATTCCGAACCGCTGGAACCCAGAAAGCCCAATACCCCTTAATTAAGGAATATTGCTGAAATTATATAGGGCTTCATATTATGATTTAAGCCATATTTCTTAATTAAGGGGCATTGGGCTTTCTGGGAACATGTCCTGTACCTGATGCCCTCGGCCCAGGGTTTCCAGTGCCCCAGCGATGGCCTCTTGATTGATGTACTCTGAAGTGGCCCTCCTTCTACGGCTGACAAGTGCAGCGTCTGAAGGAAGCTTGTCACCATACTATCCGCCAGAGAGTCTGCCTTTGAACCTAGGTGTAGGTCCAACTCGCGGACACTGCCACTGGCAACTGCCTTTGACAAAGATGATGCCAGTGCCGGGTGAGCCAATGCCTGAGCATCGTTCTTGTAGTGGAACGGCGTCCCTAAACCCTAATGGCCTAAACCCTAAACCCTAAACCCCTAGAGTGTCCAACTAAAACCATCCTCGGGCCGAAGCAACGAAACATGTCCGACTTCCCAGACTTGGCCACACCCCGGACAGCCTAACACGGGGGATAGGAAGCAATATATCTGTCGCACTTGAAGCAATAAATGTTACTTCTGTCTAGGGCTCAAGGGCTTAGTTCTATTTAGGGCTCAAGGGCTTAGGATGAGGGGATCGGAAACAAAATGCTTAATATAACATTGAAGAATCTGTGACGGTCTACAGCCCTAAACCTCGATCGCGGGACTTCGTACTTAAGTGGGTTGAACTTAGTTCTGCAAGTATTGGGATTATCCTGGTACCCTAGCTCATGACCCATTTACGACCTGCTTTCTGCGCTTGGGGCCTAGGAAAGAGCTACATGGGAGCTTCCGAAAATAGGGGACCCTAATAAAGTACCCCAAATAGTAGGATCCTTATTATAAGGACCCCAAAATAAAGTACCCCTAATTCTCTCACAAACTCTAAAACCCTAAACCCTTTATAGAACCCTTAGAGATCCCTTTAAGGAACCCTTATAGATCCCTTTAAGGACCCCAAGATAAGGTACCCCTAATTTTGGAAACTCCCACATACCCCAGAACCATTGGTCTGATCCCAGGCCCCCGGGAGGATCCAAAAAGCAGATCCCTTAATGGGGGTTCCTTTAAGGGTTCCTTTAAGGGTTCCTTTACGGGTCCCTTTAAGGGATCTATAGGGTTTTAGGGTTTAAAGGATCCAAAAAAGTAGATCCCTTAATGGGGGGTTCCTATAAAGTACCCTTAGTTGTGTAGGGTTCCAAATTAGGGGATCTACTTTCTAGATCCTCTTGGGGGTCTGGGATTGAGCCCCCGGGATTTAGGGGGCCATCGGGCCCCCCGAAGAGCAACAAAAGCAGGGAGCTGGCCTGAATTCTGGTGGATTTGGAAGATCTGAGGCTTCAGAGCTTTATAAGTATAGAGAATAAGACATGACTTTTTAAAAGAATAATAAATATTGTTTATAATCAATATCTGGAATAATATTGCAGTTCTGGGGTTAACACTCTACATCCACTTTGCGGTGTCGGGCATAGAGTTTAGACATCTAGAGTTCAGGGCTTCGGGCGCGGAAGCTAAACCCGATGGGGCATAACAGCAATATATACACATAATATAGCTATGATATACATTATATAGCCCATTATAGGGTAGGGGTCCCCATAAATTAAGGGTCCCTCCCTTTCCCCATAACAGCTCCGGAAGACGTTCCCGCGGGGCATGGCTCGCAAGAAACCATCTCCTGAGCAGGAACAGTTCATATGGGAGTTTCCGAAAACACGGTTTAGGGTCTAGGGTTTAGGGTTCAGGGTTTAGGGTTCAGGGTTCAGGGTTTAGGGTTTAGGGTTCAGGGTTCAGGGTTTAGGGTTCAGGGTTTAGGGTTTAGGGGAGTTTCCGAAAAGAGGAGACCCTAATATAGTACCCTAAATAGTAGGACCGTTTTTTTAGGACTCCAACATAAGGTGCCCCTTGTTTTCGGAAACGCACACATAGAACTTGAAATCACCTGCGTTTGGATCTTGGGTCAAGAGTGCCGTACTACTTGGAGGATCATGGGACTTAGTAAGTATGGTTGTACATATCTTAAGAGGGGATGTAGTTACTAAGTCCCATGAACCTCCAAGTATTGCTGCAGGAGAGCCAGAAAGCCGTTGTTCCAGGGAGGGTGTAAGGGTTCGTAGGCCAGCGCAGGCCTCTATGATAATCCTGGGGGGCTGAAAGTACCCTAGCCCAATTACGGTTAACCCCCTCTGTTGTGGCAGGATTTTCTGAACCCCAAAAGGTTAAAGGTTACCTACTCAGCTACTAAGAATCCCTAAAACCTAAACCCTGAATCAAAAACACCACCTACTAAAAATCCCTAAACCTTACGTACCCCTAAGCCTGAATCATAATCACCACCAGAGGTCAGCCCGATTGAGTCACAAGCTGAACCTAGAGATGCACCCAGGATGCAGGTCAGATCCTGAGGCTGTACTGTCCAGGATCACATGGTACAGCATAGTAGCGTACAGTAATTCGTGCAGTATAGTAGAGTATAGTATAGTTACAGTCTATTATAATTCGTATAGTATAGTATAGTCTAGTATAGCATTTAGTACCGACTTACAAGTACAATATATTGTCGCAGAGTATAGTATATGATGGCATAGTCTGGTCGAGTCTAGTACAGCGTCGGTAAGTATAGGAAAGGATAGGTTGGTATAGTATAGGATGGTAGGGTATAAAGTATAGTGAAGATGGCTTTCTGGGTTCGCTAAACGCAATCTTTGCAGACCTGAGGATGCTTCAGCAGTTGCCTTAGGACCGGCGAGAGGTCGAAATAGGGTTTAGGGTTTAGGGTATAAGGGTTTAGGGGTTCAGGGGTTTACGGTTTGGGGGTTTAGGGGTGTAGGGGTGTATGGGTTTAGGGCTTAGGGTGTGTAGTGTGGGGGGCCTTAGTACTACCGCAGGACGAAAGTTCGCCACACTATGTTTAACTCAACATATGTACTAGTGTCACCCGTTGTCCCCCCTAGACTCCTCCACAAGATCCTGAAGGCTCTCCGCCGAGAACATTATAGTAGTATAATTTTATTCCGGGGAATTAACTACTCCGCCACGCTGGCCGCGTAAAACGGACTTCTGGCCTCTCCGCTTCTCCGCGGCACATGTTCATGTATCTTGATGATATCCTCCGTATGTCGAAACTTTTGTCCTGGTGATATAGTTAGAATAGGGCTCCTTCAAAGGGCTATCATAAGACTCACAATGGTTTCTATAAGTGTTTCAAGCAGCTGTTTCGATACCCTCCAACCCCCAACTCAGCTTTGCAGCCCATAGGTAATAAGCTGCAATCCGAAGCCCTGATTCCAAAACCCAAATTTTCATAAACTAGAGAACCAAACTCTGAACCCTAAGAGCCAAACATTAAGCCCTAAACTCCTCTTGAACCCAAACATTAAACACCTGAACCCTAAACCCTAAACCCTGAACCCTAAACCCTAAACCCTAAACCCTAAACCCTGAACCCTAAACCCCCAAACCCTGACCCTGAACCCTAAACCCCCAAACCCTAACCTCCTCGTTTAAGGATCCAAGGAACCCCAGCCCGGTAGAAGCCGCGAGCGCAAGCCACACAGTTGGTGCCCTCCAGGCTGGTCCCATCCTTCGTCCATAGTTTAAGGCATAGGGTTTAGGGTTTAGGGTTTAGGGTTTAGGGCATAGGGTTTAAGATTCAGGGTAAGATTCAGGGTTTAAGGTCTAGGCTTTAAATTTTAGGAGTTTAGGGCGGTATAGGGTTTTGCAACAATAGGTGACATGGGGGCCTTGAGAAGTAGAATGAGACTCCTTTGATTTGTGGCTCTATAGAGTTCGACGCACACTTAATCCTGTACCTAAACATATACTTGTACTTAGATGTATATGGATACCTATACGCATACTTATACCTATACCTATACCCTTACCTATGCCTAGATTTCTACCTATACTTAACCTTGTACTTATACTTCTGCCATACCATACTAGTCTATGCTATACTACAATACAGCATACCACACTCCACTAGAATACACTACAATACACTGCACTGTACTACACGATACTACAAAAGTTAACTTATGATATACCCTACTCTTCTGCACTACACTATACTATACTGCACTATACTATCTTTTGCCATACTACACTGTGCTATACTGCACTTACAATACTATGCTAAACTGTACCTTCCTGTACTGTTTTATAACGTACTCTGTAAACTACATTTTACTGCACTCCATTCTGCTGTATACTGTATTTCACATTTTTGCACAAGACTGTACTATGCTTAACTATGCTTTGCTCTCTCTCCCCACTATATTGCACTATACTTAACGACCCCCTATACTGCACTACCGTACTGTACCAGACTATACCATACTATACTGTACTTTTCTATACTATGCTGTGCTATACTGACCTAGACACGAGCATACTATACTCGCTTAGTAATTATTAGGCCCCTATATTATAGTACCCTTATAGATCCCTTATAGTAGCCCTTATGGTAGCCCGTATAGTACCCCTATAGTACCCTTATAGGAACCCTTATAGTCTGGGACAGGGCTTTGTAGACAGGGTCGAGGCAGGCGTCGGGCAGGCCGTCGGCTGTAATACAAGGGGCTCAACAAGGAGTACTACAATAGGGTGTATGGTGAGTTAGGGTTTAGGGTTTAGGGTTTAGGGGTTAGGGTTTAGGGTTTAGAGTTTAGGGTTTAGGGGTTACCATAGTATACTTAGAACAAGGAGCCCCAAATAAAAAAGTAGCTGCCGGGCTTCTATGTTAGGCAGGTCTTGGATATGTAACACTTCAACTGCCAATGGCCTGAATGCCCCGAAAGCCCCAAAACCCCTGCGCCCACAAGCCAGAATTCTTGAATCCACCCTAAACCCTAAAACGGAAGCCCAAAATACCACAGCACACAAGCCCTATTTCTTGAAAACCCCCTCGTTCTAAACTTTACAAGCTGGAACTCAAAGCAGGCAACTCCGCTTGAACATGGGATTTAGGGTTCATCCCCCACACTGGGGAGCCGGCTGGGCACATGTAGGCCTGCCGGTAGCGTGCCGCAGCGGCAGGCATTGGAAACCTTGATCAGCGGCTGCGAGTTCTAAAAGCGGTAGTGGCAGGGAGTGGCAGTGGTACTGGGAGTGGCAGTGGTGCTAGTGCAGCAGCACCGAAACCGAAGGGAGCCCAAAATGCCAAAGGGCGGAGGAGTTGATAGTTTTTTTCAGTGTGATGGCCCCTGATGAAGCTCAATACGTTCAAGACTGGGGGGGGTCCAGAGCTTGTGGTTTGGAATCCTTCTGATGTGGGCATCTAGACGACTACGGCCTTTAAAGTGTAGGCTGAAGCCCCAAAGCAAGCAACGATGCAAAAGCATACTCCACACCGAACCCGAAAATGTTTGCAAAGCCGACCCAAATTCAACTCCACCCCGAAACCATACACCAGAAGCGCCAAGACCACAGCCCCAAAACCCGGCCCCAAACTCCAGCCCTAAAATCCTTGACTCCTTCTCGTCGAACCCAGAAGCTCCATGTGTTCTAGGACGATGTCCCGGCAGAGCCTTGGGAAGCGTTGAAGACTTTCGGTGCAACCCTATAGGGATGTGAACTTCGGGCCCCGTACCGGGAACCGTAATAACTATTAGGGTTTAGGGTTTAGGGTTTAGGGTTTTAAAGTCAGCCGCTGCTGAAATTTGCCTGCTCTGACCCATGCTCTATGGGTGGGCATAAGTTTATTCTGGAACCCTTCTGTCAACGAGCCCACTGACCAGAAAGAGCTGCTCCAGCTTTTTGCCCTATTCTTTAGAAGCTGCCCCCACCCTGTAATAGTGACCATAAGGACTATATAGGATTATATTAGGGCCCCATTATAGTCCTTTTACACCACTATTACAGGGTGGGGGCAGCTTCTTGCCCTATTCTTACAAAATGCCTTGTAATCAGAATAACCTATAGTCCCCATTGTAGTTCCTTGTTTTGGTTAACCGGTTTTATGGTTAGGATCCTGTAATAGAGATTTGGGTTAAACCAAAAAAAGGAACTACAATGAAGACTACAGGAAGGTTTCGGGGTAGACCGTGGGAACAATAGGAGAAGGAATCCTCAGGAATAACATCGCCCATCATATCTGTTCAGGTGCCTATATAGGGGTTTCCGAAAATAGGGAACCCTAATGTAGTACCCCAAATAGTAGAATCCTTATTCTAAGGACCCCCAAAATAAGGTACCCCCTAATTTTCGGAAACTCCCATATTCCCTAGCTGCTCAAACAAGCAGTCGACAGTCTCGCAGTAAAGAGACGCGCTGCGGAGCCATCTCGCCGGGAAATATCCAGCTGCATGGCAGCATCATAAACCCTAAACCCAAGCTCTAAACTGAAAACCTCAACCACGACACCATGAGGAAGTTTCCGAAAATAGGGGACCCTAATATACTACCCTAAATATTAGGGTCCTTATGATAAGGACCCCAATATAAGGTACCCCTATTTTCGGAAACCCCCATATATACACCCTCAACCTTACTCTGGCTGGGGTGGTTTGGGGCTTGGGGCGGGTTGCCTGCATGTGAAGACGCCAGTGAAAACTACATGAAAATGAGAGCAATAAAGCCACGTAGACACAGCAATACATAAAACAAACACGAAAAGCAAGCAACTGCGCATGCTTGGGATGAAGTTTTTGGGGCTTGGTTTTGCTAGGGACTAGGGCTAGGGGTTCAGGGTCGCAGCCAAGATGCACAGAACTGTTGTCACCTGTCGCAGCGGCACAGGTGCGGAAAGCGTGCAATTGTTAGGGTTCAGAAAATTTCGGGTGTCCAAAGCCAATGCCCAAAACTTGCCGCCAAACTCCTGAACTAAAGAGTGCATCCGTGGCGCAACTCCACGAAGCCCTAATGACCCTAATGCCGAAGCGCAAAACCATAAGTCCATACCCCGGCAGCAAATCTCCAATATTACCAATTTCTCAGACCACGAAAGCTCGAAAACTGCAATGTTTTCTGTCACCGCTTCTATTCGCCACTTTATGCCGACACCAGGCTTCAATCAAAAACCTTGACGTACTTTAGGAGCATGAATAAATAGTCAATAATCCCCCTCTACCCGAAACCCAAAGCCATCAACATTGAGAACTGCATGCAAAGGCTGTGGCTGTCGCACGTGTTCGACCACCGGGGACTTCCATGTCAGTTGCGAACCTAAACCCTAAACCAAATGAAAACTCAACCTGGTGATGCGCCTTTGGCGTTTGAGCTTTGTGCTTCAGGGTTTACCCGCACCCCCAAACACCCTAAACCCTAAATCCTAAACCCTAAACCCTAAACCCTAAACCCCCCCTACATTTATTAAGGGTCCTTGTTATGGTTGGTTTTAAACACAAGTCCTTAACTATGGGGCTGAGTACCCTAGCCCAAAAAAGCTTAAGGATTCTATCAACCCCCAAAGGGTTTAGGGTTTAGGGTTTAGGGTTTAAGGTTATCTACTCAGCTACTAAGTATGAAGAGGTAGGTTATTTGCGGTTTTATGGGGCTTGACACCTGGAACTCATCTAACACTCCAGAGAAACCACCTCTGCTCCAAGACTCTGTGAAAACATGCGAAGCCGTGCCGAAGACATCTAAACCCTGAAACTCCCAAAGAGAGGCCTGAACAATTTGAACAGGGTGTTGAAACATGTTATATATATATATATATATGTATACATATATATATATATATATACTTCTACTTTACAGTAGACCCAAACCCTGAATCTAAGAGAAAAGCAGACAACGAGTTCCACAGCTGACCTCGGCACACTTCCAGAATCTCAGGCGACCTCGCAGACGCTACTGCATCACTCGAAGGAAAGCATAAAGGTTGCAGGGTTCCGAAGCCTTTTCATGTTGTGAGTTCTTACGTCTTCGCTTCTGCTGGGGTTTTGTGGATCCTACTATCTATAATATAAGGTACATTCCCTTAATTAAGGGACATTGGAGTCTCAGCCCTGAACTCTCCAGAGTTTCTGGGGAGGGTTTGGGTTCAGGGTTTCAGGGCCTCTTCATTCCAGGGCGCACATCTATGGATTTGCCAGGCTGCGGCGGTCCAACACTCAACAGAGTCACTTCAGGAAAGGAAGGGCAAAACCCTAAACCCCTGAACCCTAAACCCCTGAACCCCTCAACCCCAAACCCCTGAACCCCTGAACCCTAAACCCCTGAACCCTAAACCCCTGAACCCCTGAACCCTAAACCCTCCCCAGAAACTCTGGAGAGCTCAGGGCTGAGACTCCAATGTCCCTTAGTTAAGGGAATTTACCTTAAATTATAGTAGGATCCCCCTAATAGGATTTAAGGTATATTCCTTAATTAAGGGAGTAACCAGGGAGAAAAAAGTACAAACTTTTATTTCAAAATGGTTCCCTTTAAGAAAAAAGTATTAACGTATGGTACTCCAAAGCCCAGTTAATTGAGGGAACTTAGCTTAAGTTATAGTAGGATCCCCGAATAGGATTAAAGGTATCTTCCTTAATTAAGGGATATACCTGAGGTAAAAGTGGTATCCCTAATAGGATTTAAAGTATATTCCTGAATTAAGGGATATTAGAATCCCCTCAACCCTAAACCCTATAGATCCCCTTTAAAGGAACCCTACTAAAGGAACCCTAGGTATCTTCCTTCATTAAGGGATCTTGGGAGTCTCTGGGAAGGCCATGGTCGGTCCCAATCTTGGTCAGTGGTTGAAACCATGGGCCCCTAGCCTTGGGATCCTCAGCCCTCTTGGAGGGTCTTTGGGGACCTTTAAAGGGGAGTCTAAGGGTTCCTGTAAAGGGCTCTATAAGGGTACTATAGGGTGTAGGGTTTAGAGTTCAGGGACTTAGTAAGTAGGTAGTAAGTAGATTTTTAAGTACCCTGAAAGGGACCCTAATTGGGGTTATGGTACTTATAAGTCCCGAAAATAACCAGTTTCTAAGTTCCCCGACCCTCCAAGTTGGGACCCTTCTATACCTACTATATCCCCTATATGGGTGGTTGTCAAAATTATGGTCCCTTTTTGGGTGCCCTAAATATTAGGTGCCGTATTATAATAAGGACCCAAAAAGGGACCCTAATTTTGACAACCACCCACATACCCTATATAGACTATGAAGGGTCCCTAGAGCCTCCTCAAAAACGCCTAAGGGTCCATATCAGGGGCCCCTACTTCCAACCTTGGACTTGGGCGCGGGCACTAGAACTATGTTGGAGTTCATCTCGCCCCTTTTCAGCTGCACACCTGCACAAAATTTCGGAGGTTGGGGCCGAGGGCCAAAACCCGAAACCTAATGCCCTCAAGCCTAAGACTTTGGGGGTTCTGAGGCGTGTCAAGGTAGTAGAATGTTGCTCCACTGAACCTCCCAGTATGCCTTCCTACCTTGCCATTGCAGTACAGTTTCAGTTTGGCTTGAGGTCCAACTCGTGGCGGGCTGATGGGGGATGATGGTTGGAGACTCGAGCCGGACATACTGGCCACCCTTGTGACAACATCTTCACCATCCTCACCATCACCATCACCATCATCATCATCATCACTCGTCCTCAACATATTCATCAACATCATCGTCATCAACACAGCCTTGTAAACTCATCATCTTCATCAATGTTCATCATCACCTTCGACCTTATCATCATCATCATCATCATCATCATCACCATCATAGACTTCGTCTTCATCACCTTCTTCGTCCAGAACATCTTCATCATAATACTTTCATGCTCATCATCATGGCTGGCATAGTATCACTACCGTGGCCAAGACCTGTACCAGCAGTCGCGTGAAGATACTCGTACAGGTAGCAACAACATCAGCGGTACCCACAAACAAGCGGCAAGAACCAAAGTAAAGGTAAGCTGTAAGCTCCATCACTAACAGCAAAGCAAGAAGGAGAGTATGCATGAGCACAACAGACAAGCGGCAACAACTTTGGGTTTCCGCTATGGCCGTTTGACAGGGTGCGATAAGTTAGGAGGACACGATGTCTTGAAATTGTAGCAGTCTCTTCATATAACTAAACTAAACCTTTATAGTATACTCGTGGTACATGTAATTTGTTTAGGCGCTTGGGTGCTTCCGATGAGGCCTTTCCACAAGAAGATTTATCCCCCAACCCAGGTGCCCACCCTTGTTCGAAACATGAACCCAAACCATGAATCCTACACCCGAAACCAAAAACCGTAAACCCTCAATCCTAAACCCGAGACCATAAACCCTGAATCCTACTTGAATCCTACACCCGAAACCGTAAACCCTGAACCCTGAATCCTAAACCCCAACCCGCTGTAGCCCCATGCGGTAGACAGAGAGGGAGGGTTTGGCCTGTGCGTCTACAAAACAGGCGTTTGAGCTTCGGGCCTCCTCCGGTGTCATACGGTGTAGGCTTTAGGGTTTAGGTTTCCTGCATCTTGATGCTATGGGTACCCTATGAGTTTAGGGCTTCGGGAGTCTTGCATGCTAGCCCTGAGTGTGCTGAAGCTCACATCTTACGGCTGATCTTAAAGAAATCCTGACCCTCATTGCTGCAGCATCACCTGCAACACTGTCATGTTTTACAGCCGGACATGTGGCGTGATTGTCTCAGTGCTGCAATGCTGTTATTTTGTATACCCAGACATGAGGCGTGACTATCTTAGCGGCCCCATCTTATCTAAATTTAGGTGGTTGTCAAAATTATGGTCCCCTTTTCATTCCCTATTATAATACGGCACCTAATATTTAAGGTGCCCAAAAAGGGACCATAATTTTGACAACTACCCATTTGGCTTAGGGCGACCCCCTTGCGCCTGCTTCCTGGAGCGGGATGATATTCGAAGGAAGGAACTGCCTCTGTGTGTGCTGCAGGGTAGTGAAGGGTTTCTTTCTTTTTATGGGCCCTTTTCGAATTGCAGAATGGTTAGAATTCCTATACTAGTGAAGGGTTTCGAGTTCAGGATTTAGGACGTAGGGTTTAGGGTTCAGGGTTGGGCCTGGGCTCAGACTGCAATGCAGCGAAAATGCCAGTGCCACCAGCCACGTGACTTCGTCTAGAAACACCTCTTTGACCTTCTTCGACTTTGGGGGATAAGGCAGCAACCCCACATCTTTCATCTTCTGCACTGCGCGAAGCAGTCTTCCTCCATGAAGGCGTCGGAAGGGCTCTGTCACAATGATAGGATCACGACCCTCAAAAATTTAGTAGCGACGCACCCAGCAAACTGGCGCGTGTGATTAGTCCGGAAAGCACGATTGGCCCGACCCGTAGTGGTTGATCGTACCAGAACAGTCCCTTGAGGTTCCCCCATTCAGGTCGCTGAAGTTCGCTTCCCAGGGTTTTGCGGACGGAAATCTGGACACTGAGCAATCTCTTGCGGTCAGACTCGAATGTGCCAGCGAGCTGCCCCGGAAGGAAACAACATGGGCAAGGAACTAGGATTCCATCGGCCAGCAGTGCTACATTTTGGTCCGGGTTCTTCAAGCTGGAAGGGTCGGTCGGGGATGGCTTCCTTTGCCTTTGCAGCTACAGGATGCCGTGCTTAAACCTTGGGGGGTTTTGGGGTTCTGGGCTTTGGGCTGCGGTTTCGGGCTTGCAGTTCTGGTCTTAATTTAAGACTCTATACTTGGCGTGCTCATGACGTCTACATCTGCCGAGGGCTCGTTCTTTTCGGCCTCAGGCCTTACTAACAAGCCCTTACCTGAGGCCGTAGACGAGAAAAACCGATAAACACAAAACACTGAACCCAGTAATATGGAGTTGAGGGTTTAGGGTTTCGGGAAGCCCTCTGGGCTAATATCTAGGATGCCCAGTAACCTAGGTTTATACGTGGTATTGGATATCTTTATAAGGAACCTAGAACTACAAAAAAATGGAAAAAGGGTACTACTGGGCATCCTAGATATCCATGAGCAATCATTGACCCTTAGGAACCCCCATTAATCAAAGCCTGTTGCCAAAGCCCGCATGTAACTGCCCTTATACAACCTCTTAACCCTAAACCAAACCCCCATACCCTGTAAACCCTTGAACCAAAAAGGAAACCCTAAACCCCTAATTTCGGAATTAGACCCGAAGCCCAAAGCCTCTGAACCCCTGAACCCCTAAACCCCTAAACCCCTGAACCCTAAAGCCCTAAACCTTAAACACCCGAACCCTAAATGCCTAAACTCGTAAACACCTGAACCCTAAACCACTGGACACTAAGTTCCCTTTGCCTGAAAGCAAAAGGCTGCAGGAGCCGGTTCCCGCTGCTATCGTACCCGAAGGGTCCGAAGAGCGTCTGGAAGGTTGTGTTCCTGCTAGGGGTTTGAGGACTCCGGGTTGGGTTTCTATCAGGGTTCTATAAGGGCTCCCTAAAGGCACTGTAAGGGTTCTGGAAGGGTTTAGGGTTTGGTTGAGGGTTGGAGGGGTTGGGGTTAAGTTTTAGGTAGCTTCTCGGCTTTACCGGTATCGTCGTTCGAGTTTACGAGACAGCCACGCGCAGGAGCTTCTACCCGAAGAAGCCCAAATCAAGAGAAAAGGGGCTTCAACAATCAGAGCAGGCTTCTGGGTTACAAACGGAACATGACAAAACTCTAAAGAACAATGTAGATAACTACAGAGGCAACAGTGTTGCATGCACCTCGACTCAAGGTTCTAGCTGCACCTCGACTCAAGGTTCTAGCTTCGGGGCGGGGCATGCTCTTGGCGCACGGCTTCGGCTGCAGTATGTCTATCGCTGTAGAATGATGTACATCCTCTTGATTGAGGGTTGCTACATTTTTTCGTCTTCAAGCAAAGGTAACGGAAAAGTGTTCGGATTACATGTACAGGGATTCAAGTGCATGAGTACTACTGCTACTTTGCTGCAGCTGCTGCTACTACTACGACTACGACGACGAAGCCCGAAGGTGCGTTTGTAGCAGTAGGTTTATATTGGGTGTATTTGAGCTGGAAGGGTTTGTGGGCTTGAGGGTTTCGTGGATTCAAGGATTGGGGTTTCAAGGGCTTCATACAGGCGTTAATGTTTGGGTAGACAGGATCGCAGAGCCTCAACCCCTCCTCAGACACCCGAGATTTTCGTGCCAATTAGCCAGAATGGTGTGAGCGCAGCTTCATGTCGCATCCGTGTAGAACCGTATAGTATCCTTAAAGTATCCTTATAGTACCGTTGTAGTACCCTTGTAGTATCCTTATGCTATTATTATGGTGCCGTTACCCTTACAGCATCCTCAAAGCTCCGTCCCAAAGCTTACTAGAGGGGCCTGAATAATCAGAATAGGGTTTGGGGCCCACTATACAGCAATTATAACAAGAACACCCCAAACCCTAAACCCTAAACCCTAAACCCTAAACTAAACCCAAACAAAATAGTATTGGTAATTATTTAGGCCCCTATAGTACGCGGTCTTGGGGATTTGGGGCCTATTTCTGGGCAACACGGATCTTCGACTCTTCAAGGGCTAAGGGCGTTTAGGGTTTGGGGTTTAGGGGGTTAAGGTTTTGGGTTTAGGGGTTTAGAGCTTTAGGGTTTAGGGTTTAGGGTTTAGGGGTTAAGGTTTGCTAGCGGGTTCAGTTGCAATGGTGCGTTTTTGGGGGTTTCACTGCTTACTCAGGCCGGGACTTGTCCTGCATGCTATGGAAAGTGCTTGAAATGCCGCTATTTGCAGGTGTTCGCAGTAGTGGCATTGTGTGCCTAGGCTTTCTGAACACTGCATAGAAAGGACTCCGCAAGACCAAAAGCGCTATGCGCGTTTGGCAGCAATGTGTGCCGCATTTCTGCTTGTTTTCTGGGGTGGGGATGGGGTGGGGGGGGGGGGGTGGGGGGGGTGTGATTTCGCCATGTCGTCTCTTTCACCTGGCTCCGCCTGAAATGAGGCAAAAAGCTTTCGGCTTCTCAAAATGGATATGACGAAACGTTCGATGAAGCTGTAGGCATGAGGGTTTCCGCTTGAAAAGGGGTTATGAGAAAACGTTCGATGAAGCTGTAAGCATGAAGGTTTCCGCTTGAAAAAGGGGATTCCGGGATATGACATGACAAAACATTCGATGAAGCTGTAGGCATGAAGGTTTCCGCTGGCATGGGGTTTGTGTGGCTTCCGGCTGCGCGCGCAAAAGAGTCTGCAAGTCAGCACAGACAGGATGTTCTTACTTCTTTTGGGTTCCAAAAGACGTCACACGGAAGTCGATGCACTGGAAACTCCGTTGCGAAGTTGCCAGGAGACATCCGCTCCCAACTTACGCACAATCCTCTGCACGTTCTGTGGCAAGCCTTGGAATCTAGAAGCATGCCAGCAGCCACGACCCTGCCCGACTCGCTCAAAGAAAAGCTTGCAGCGTAAAGTCACAAAGCCACGGGTTGGCCCTGTCGTGTGCGCAACAGGAACACGAGGCTCGTTGTGAACCGGGCAGCGGCCCCACTTTGTCGCCCTTGTGAGACGACTGCGGACGTCAAAACGCAGCACAGCAGACGCAGATTTTGCACCAACTCCGTTCTGTCTTTTGTGACGAGAAAATGCAAGTGATACAAAGCCGGAATCACTTGATCGAGCTTTTGTGCAAAAGCCTGCACATCCTCGTTTGTCTCCGAGTGCTGCAATGCAGCAGCCACAATCAAAACTAGCATCTGCATGGCTGGGGCCTGCATGGCTACGTCCATCTCTGGGAGATCTGCACTAACACGCTGCTGAGCCGTACAAACTCTCACGGTGCACAGCTGCATGGACAGCAGAAACACGTGGAAAGCAAAGACTGCAGCATGACCGACTCGGGCCTTGCTTTCTTCCTCCTCTTCTTGCTCCACCAGCTCCATGGCTTCGCAGTCTATCTCCTCCGAGATAATTCTGGCTTGCTACTTTTTCACTACACGGGACAAACCTGCAACAAAAAAAACAAAGAAATCTAGCCCACCGAGCATACCGAGAATCCTGTTCGACGGCGAGCAAGGACGTGACCAGCTCCGCGTAGAAAATATGATCCGCACTCCCACGCACAAGTACTTTGTCACTTGCATCCAGAATGGCATCCACGTCAGGAAACCAGAGCCGTCTTGTCGTCAGGTCCTCTTGAGCCCGCATAGCCAATCGCCCAAAGCAGCGGTTTATAAAGATCTTGTAGTTCGGCTCCAAGCAAAAAGGATATGTGCTGCCTTGTTTCAGCAGCAGGAAGCATGCTCCTATCACATGCCGCTGCTCAAACAGCAGCTCCCACCGCATGCGACTCGGGCGGGCCTCTGTCAGCATGCCATATATGGCGATTGCTACAGCCAGGTCCCTTGGGTCTGAACACAACAACTCAAAATGAGCTGTCAGGTCTTCCAGGGACTCAAAGCGCCAGCGACCCAAGCACGGTGGAAGACATACGTTCCCGTGACGAAGGATCACTATGCAGCACAAAGCCAAGGCCAGCATCGCACCATCTTTCAACATGATCCCGGGGACAGGTCAAAGCCTATTAAAGTTCATCACATGTCTGCGTGAAATTCAACTCATTTGCTTATGAAGTCTGCATGAAATTGCTTCCAGCAACAAGTCTGAGAAGCCGCAAGAACCCTTCATCTCATGAATGGGGCATGGTTGGCTCGAGTCGCCTGGAGTGTGCCGCGCATGCACTTGACCAGCTCGGGCTAACTTGTGAACCCAGCCTCAAGGCATTCAGTTGCAGGGTTAAGACTTACAGTGGCAACTCAAGTGAAAACCGTGAACTGACTGCAATCTACCTGAACATAATCTTTTCAAAACCTTTGTCTTCCCCTGAAACAAAAACACGAAATCCCGAAAAAACCGAGTCGAAACCACTCTTGGAAGTGAACCCGCAGGGTAAGGTTTTGGGTTTAGGGGTTTAGAGCTTGAGCGAAATCCCCGCTAGCTTTGCTCGGTTCTTGTACTACTCCCATGCACCAGGTAAGCTCAGGAAGCTTTAATTTTCATGCCGAGGAAAAGCTCGAAACGCTTTACCCCAAACCTGCCAACAAAAATCGCAAAGCCCTTAAGGGTTCATAGGAATGTTGAGGGCTTAGGAACCCTGATGAGGGTTTACGGTTTGGTAAACCCTAAAGCCTGAACCCTTAATTGACCAGAAAGGGGAAACAAACCTCTAAGCTCCTTCATAGTTACCAATGCTATTTTTGTGGTTACCTATCATAAATATAGTATAGTGGGCCCCAAAGCTCCTGATTGTGTCGCGCACGTCCGCGCTGCTCAGGCTGGGTGAAGCTTGCACGGCCTGGCGAAATAGGTGTGTTGTAAGGATTAAGGATACCGTAAGGTTTTAGGGTTTAGGGCTACGCATACTATAAGGATGCTATAAGGGTGCGATCAGGGTACTTCAAGGGTACTACGAGGGTAGTTTAAGGATGCTAAGACGATAATGCAAGGGTAGGGTACTGCCGTACTGCCCGGGTACTAAAAGGATCCTCGAAGGATACTTGCTATAAGGATACTGTCGGAATACTATAGGGATACTATAATGATACTATAAAACGGATTTTCTGAGTGTGCAACTACAAGGGTATGTCAGGTATGGAGTCTACTGTGTTTCACGGGGTCTGTGGAAAAGGACTGCGAAATCCTACACCCTGAAGAGCTACCTTAACCCTGAATAACCTACCCTTTTCCGGCACTTGTAAAAAGAAAACATGATAAGGAGCCCAAAAAACGGGTAGATTATCGCGGGGTTAAAGTAAACCCTAAACCTGTCCAGAAGCGGGCTCCTGAACCCGCAGCTCCAAGGCTGTTCGCGAGATATTTTGGGACCTTGGGTTGCGGGTTTAGTTCCAAACCTCCAAATAATGGCCGGAACCTGTGGGTTAGGGCCTTAGGGGTGTAGAGTTTAGGGTTTAGGATTGCATGTCTGCGCATCGGGGAAGACATCTGACCAGTGACAAGTGCTGCCAGTGGAAGTGGCGCTGCGTCCTCCTCGAGTGTAGCATCATCTTTTCCTCGGACCTCCCTGAGTATAAATGCACGGGTCGTCTCCAACGGGCTTGACATGTTGTTTTTGAACCCCGAACCCTAACCCCTCAACCCCAGAAGCCGTATAGGCCCTGAACTCCTAAGCCCTAAACCTGAAACCCTAAACCCACAACCCCTAAACCAAAAACACTTCATATCGACAACTACTCAAACCTCCATACGAGAGCTCTCCAAGGGTCTGATCTTGCTTCTAGGCCGCGCGGCCTGAAAGTTCATGCTGAACCTAGTATTGTAGGGGAAAGATTAGAATAGGGTTTTTGGTATATTATACCATAATACTTTTAAGCACCCGCCCCCCCAAATAGTATAGGTAAATACGAGGCCCCCCATGTTTAAGGTGACCAGCTTCGGGTTTGGGTTTAGGGCTTTGGATTTAGGGGCTTACGGGCTTTGAGCAACAAGCCCTTGAGTTTAGATTTGGGACATCCCGAGTCACTCGAACTGACCCACCTGCACCAGCAAAGACGCGGCTGAGGCTGCCTGCTGCTGACTTCATGCTTTATCTTACCTTTGGTTAGTAGGGAATGGAAGAATGGTAGTAATGGTAGTTACAATTGTACCCCATTCCTCCATTCCCTACTAACCAAAGGTAAGTTATTCAGCGTAGTTCTTCAACGCTTAGTTAAGGCCTGAGTACCCAAGGCCAACGTGGGTTAACCTTTTCAAGCCCAAAACAGGGAAAGGTTGCCTCCTCAGCTACTAACGGGGGCTTGGAGTGCCTCAAAGGCTTCCCTGCTCAAAATGGCTTCAGTTCTGGCTGTTACTGAGAAAGAACCGCCTTCACTGCTTCTAGCTAATAGCCAGAGTTTTCAGCTGGAAAGACCAATGGTACCAGACTTGATATTGATTTGATATCCACAGCCATACTCAGTTCTGCGATGTACCACATAATACCCTGTGTTGGTGATAAACAGATAGAATGACAAGCTGTCACTGATGGTGGGGCTCCTATTTCTCCCTTTTCAACGGTAGCACAAGATGGAGGAATGGCAAAACACATGAAATAGCAATCTACAATCCGAAGACTATCTGGCGGTTTAGATCTACCGCCGCCGTAAGGCGAAGAGATGAAAACATAGAAATGTGTACACTTGCATGCCTGCGTGCTTGCGTGTACACATGCAAAAGTCACATAGCTTCTAACCATTTACCTCTGTCTCTTGCTGTCCGGCTGCGTGACTGTCTGGCTGGCCTCTTTTCTGCCTGTACTGAGACCTGCATGCGTACATACATATACACATATATACATATATATATATATATATATATGTATATACGTATATAAACATCTGTATATATATATACACACATACATACACACATACATACATACATACATACATACATGCATAAACACACAAATGGATAAATACATAGTTACATATATGTGTGTATATGTATATATGTATACAGATATACGTAACATTCCCTAAACATAGGCAGATGCACTGATGCATACATGGGTAGGTAGGTAAATGTTGCTCACAAGCGAAACAATGCATGCAAATCAGCGCAACGGCCTGTTCAGCAAGCATTAGCACAGTGATGCGCTGATGCCAGAAGAACTACTGCAAATAAACATCAGAACCAAGACACGGGGAATCCCAACAAGTTGCTATCGTACAAATGTTGACACGACCATGCATGTCATATGCACACACACACACAGGTAAACCAAGCGTGGGTCGATAGAGGGGCTCATATAGTCATATAACATGGTGTACCATATGCAGATGTATACTGAACAACATCTAGGCATGTGCACATCTGGATGTGCATCTATATCTATATATGAATATGTATATATATATATGTATATATATATATATGCTCGCCCCCCCCGACCATATATATATATATATATATATACTGTACAGACACATATCATGTATGCATGTACGGTAGATGTATGTGTGTATATATGCTCTCGGGTCCCGGGCCGCCACCCCCCCGCCCCGCCCCCGACCCGCACCTTGCCCACCCCTTGACCTTGTGCGCGGATCGGGAGTGTCGCACTATGCCCTGCCGTGTGCGGTAAGCGGCAATCGGCACAGTAGTTTCCAGCATCTGACATGATTTGCATTGCTGAATTATGAGGGTTGTATGGCGAGGGTGGTGGCAGATATTCTTTTGAAGGTATTAATGATGAAGATGACGACGACAAGGATGATGTTGAGCATTGTCTGATTGTCGACTCATGTCCCGGTCTAGAGTTTAGAGCAGCACAACATCATGAGCAGTATCACCGGTGCCACAGCAAGAGGGAAGACAAGGAGTAACACATAAGAATGTCGCGGCAAACAAAGTACGACCACAGGCCCCACACCACAGGGGGGAAGGGGGGAGGATACAAGGGGTGGGGGGGGAGGGGGGGTGTGGCAGCCCTGCATCATATATGTATGTATGTCTTTATTGTCGTACACGACGTTGACACAAACTAGCTAGAGATATGATATACATAAACATTATCACGGTAAGCAACTACCCCTCCCCGCCCCTCAACACAGAACCAACGCAGCAAATCCTTATGAGAGTCTGTAGACCGCTTATAGCCCTAGGCCTTACACGCAAGCCTTGCTCCACAAACCCATGTAGAATCCGACACCAAACTGTAAACATAAGCGAAACATGCCCGCAACAAGCCCTCAACTCTAGCAGAACCCTTTAACCGAACCCTCAAAGGAACACGAAACCCAAAAGAGCCTCTTCAAAAACAAACCTGCCTGCAAGCCTAAACCCTAGTAGAACCCTTACTAAAACCCTCAAAGGAACCCTAAACCCTAAACCCTAAAACCCTAAACCCTAAAACCCTAAACCCTAAAACCCTAAACCCTAAAACCCTAAAACTCTAAACCCTAAAACCCTAAACCCTAAAACCCTAAAACCCAAAACCCTAAAAACCCTAAACCCTAAACCCAGCCAAACAAAAAAAAAAAAAAAACGAACCTGCCTGCAAGCTGGCCATGTCGGGCTCGAAGCCGACGGCCAGGGCGAGGGCGTCAAAACTCTCGAGAATGGCCTGGGGTTTTCGGATTTAGGGTTTAGGGTTTTAGGGTTTTAGGGTTTAGGGTTTTCTGATTTAGGGTTTTCGGATTTAGGGTTCCTTTTAAAAGGGAGCAAAAAGGGTTCTTTTTAAAGGGGTTCGGATTTAGGGTTCCTTTTAAAAGGGAGCAAAAAGGGTTCCTTTTTTAAAGGGATCTATGAGAGGGTCTAGGGGTTTTCGGATTTAGGGTTCCTTTTAAAAGGGAGCAAAAAGGGTTCCTTTTTTAAAGGGATCTATAAGAGAGTCTAGGGGTTTTCGGATTTAGGGTTCCTTTTAAAAGGGAGCAAAAAGGGTTCCTTTTTTAAAGGGATCTATAAGAGGGTCTAGGGGTTTTCGGATTTAGGGTTCCTTTTAAAAGGGAGCAAAAAGGGTTCCTTTTTTAAAGGGATCTATAAGAGGGTCTAGGGGTTTTCGGATTTAGGGTTCCTTTTAAAAGGGAGCAAAAAGGGTTCCTTTTTTAAAGGGATCCATAAGAGGGTCTAGGGGTTTTCGGATTTAGGGTTCCTTTTAAAAGGGAGCAAAAAGGGTTCTTTTTTAAAGGGATCTATAAGAGGGTCTAGGGGTTTTCGGAT